AGAATTCTCTCTCTTCTCTTTTCCTTGGTTTACCAATGTGCCCCTGTTCTTATAACCTGATTTTTGTATATTAGTTTCTGAGACCACTTCTGCCCCACTGTCAGCCCCTCCCCGTAACAGGTCTGCCAGATAAAATATGACATAAGCCCTCTTCCCTCTTTTAGTATAAGTATAGCCCATGCAATATTTGAGACATACCAAAAATTTATTTGCTGTTAATCTGAAAATTCAAACAACTGGACACTCTGTATTTTTCCTTGCTAAAGCTAGCAACTTTCTCACCCTAGCAGCTCATGACCAAGTAACCTATGTAAGAGGGGAATGTTGTCTTCTTGTCTGTACATCTTCTTGAGGGCCACAGTCCTGTCAGTAAAGCTTATGGCCCCACTCCAGGGGCCAGGGTTCTCCTTTTCACACTGTAGTTGTTTGCCTGGCTGGATCCCAGTGCCATTCATTCTGCCTGTTTGTCTGAACCTCTGCTGTGAGCCCAGTTCAGAGCTCATCTAAGTCTGAGTGTCAGCCTGTCCTCTGAGCTGTTGTGATGGCCTGTCCTATTTTGCCTCCAGACAACTCCCTGACTTGCAAATGATTCCCAGGATTTAACTGGAATATCTAACTATTTCCCACCAGACTGTGACTCCCCAAAGGGACAGGGATTACTGTTTAATGAAACCTAGCATATAGCATGATGCTTTACACACTGCTGGTGCTTCGTCATAAATTACTGTTAAAGTTAAAAGATGGTGTTATGGGTTAAATTGTGTCCCCCTCCTAAATATATGTTGAATTCCGAACCCCAGTTCCTCAAAATGTTATCTTATTAGGAATTAGAGTTGTAGCAGATGTAATTAGTTAAGATGAGGTCAAACTGGCATAAGGCAGGTCTTTAATCCAATATGACTCCAAAGAAGAGAGACTTCCCTGGTCTCTGGTACAGAGACTTCCCTGGTACTGAAGATAGGAGTCCATCTGTCAATGCAGCGAACATAGGTTCGATCCCTGGTCCAGGAAGATTCCACATGCAACTAAGCCCGTGGGCCACAACCACTGAGCCCGTGCACCTACAGCCTGGGCTCTCCAGTAGGAGAAACCACCGCAGTGAGAAGCCAGCTCGCCGCAAGAGCAGCCCCCGCCCGCCTCAACTAGACAAAGCCCACACGCAGCAACAAGACCCAGTGCAACCAGCAGTAAAGAGATACAATTACAAAAAAGAAGAAGAGAGACACACAGAGAAGAGGATGCTAGTGAAGACACAGTCACACAGAGGGAAGACAGCGATGTGCAAATGGAGGCAGAGATTGGAGCGGTGCTTCCACAAGCCGAGGAATGCCAGAGGCCACCAGAAGCTAACAAGAGACAAAGAAGGACTCCTTCCCTACAGGCTGGAGAGGGAGCACTGCCTTTCTGATAACTTGATTTAGACTTCTAGTCTCCAGAACTGTTACAGATTTCTCTTGTTTTAAGTGACCCAATTTGTGATACTTTGCTGCGACAGCTCTAGACAACTAGCTTAAGGATTGCCACTGACCCAAAAATGAGAGTCTAGAAGAAATCAAATAATACCTGAGAGTTAGAAGGGGCTGACTATGAGATTATATAACTGTAACTTCTTTATGCTTTGTCTCCAAATTTCCTCAAACAGAAACATCATAATTTGTGTCCCTTTAAAAATCTGAACCATGTGATTAGAACTGCATGAGTACTGTGGGTCAGAGGCTGGGCAGAACTAAAGGCTATGAGTCCCACAGAAATCCTCCGTGGTCTGCACAGAGGTGGGCATAAGAGACCAAGATCCACGGTGAGAGAGACTGGCAGGAAAGGTTTGGGAGGTTCATCCCTGTGGGGTGACTTTGTCAGGAACCATGGTTTCCATTCTGTTGCCTTCTGTTTTCAGAACCTCAGTACTTTAATATACACACTTAAAAAATGAAGACAATATCACAAAACATTTTTCAGACTTCATTTCTCTGTTAATTATTCCCACATTTCATTAGTAGTGCCATGAGTTTATGAAGAATAAGTGCTACTGGTTTGGGTCAAGCCAGAGTGACCCAATTCTAAGGCAGCAAATAATTGTCTTTGAGTAGTTACAGGGACAAGAATTCTCTTAGCCAAGCAACTATGGACTACATTTCAAATGAGAAATCCACGCACAAGCTTTTGGAGATGTAGGAAGTGGGATAACATCAGCTACCAATCAAATCAAATCAAATCTTAGACAATCCTAATGAGCCCAGTCTGCACTGAGACACACCAAAATATATTCCAATTTATTTGCCCATAGAACTTCCATGGAACTTTCATTCTAGCACTGTATGATATATGATAGTTTGTGCATCTTCAGTCATGTCCAACTCTTTGCAACCCTATGAACCGCAGCCTGCCAGGCTCCTCTGTCCATGGGATTTTCCAGGCAAGAATACGGGAGTGGGTTATCATTTCCTACTCCATGGGATCTTTTTGACCCAGGGATTGAACCCACGTCTCCTGCATTGGTAGGCAGGTTATTTACCAATGCGTCACTTGGGAAGCCCCATGATATATAATAATAATGAGTATTTACTGAGTATTCACCATGCACCAAGGACTAGGCTGAGAGTTCATATGGATTATTTGATAAAATCTTCCTATCACCATCATGAGACAGGAAATAGAGATTTAAAAGGAATTAATCTGCACAACTGTTAAAAGGAGGCAGGATTCAGAAGTTTCCAAAGTCTTTCTCTTGAAGACTGTACAACTGATGGGTCTGGGAGTGCTGCTGGCAGGGAACCATTTAATTTCCTGCTCTTTACGGGCAATATGCTAACAGTCTTCCATCCGCTAGATCAGGGGTTGATAAACTATAGCTTGGGGACCAAATGTGGCCTGCTGCCTGAGCAAATATGCCCATGCCTCTAGCTCTACATACAGTCTCTGGCTGCTTTCTCAAGGACAGAGACTGTTCAGCCCACAGGCAGAAAGTATTTACTATATGACTCTTTACAAAAAAGTCTTCTGATCCCTGTGTTAGATCATTGAATCATTTTATTAATACTAACAGATCTATTAAAAGGGGATTATCTCAGTTTTAGCGATGAAGAAACTTAGGTTCACAGAAGTTAAGCTCTTGTTCTAGAACAGTGTTTCTCTGATTTCCAAATTATAAAAGTTGTTTTGCCATAGAATTGCCTTTTTTCTCCCGAAGATTGGAGATGGTGCTAAATGTATATTCCTTCATTTCATGAAAGAAAAGACATTTTAATATCCAAGAATGAGGGTTCTAATTACAACAGTCCTTTAAGTGGAATAAATTTAATTTTATGCAAAGCTTTTTCTCCCCCCATTTTGTAAAGGGTGGGTGAGCGTGTAGTCATGGACCATCATGAGTTCAAGAACTGGCAATTGAGGGTCACTTCCTCAAGAAATTCAGCTAGTAAGTGGCAGAGCCAGAGGTCTCAAAACAGGTGACACTTTCGTATCTGTTGGGACAATCCATCTACCTCTGACCCATGCATTTCTTCTGTCATTCACTAATGCAGGGAACCATGCTCATGCCAAGGAAATCATGAATCATTTTTCTCCATGTCTTTCTTACCATCTGTCTCTCCTCTGGCTGTTTTTTGTTTGTTTTTGTTTTTGGCTGTACTACACTGCATTTAAGATCTTAGTCCCCAACCCAGGGATGTGCGGAAGTGTAGGGTCTTAACCATCGGATTGCCAGGGAAGTCCCAACCTTTGGCTGTTCTGACTAAAACTAAACACTCAGGACTTCCCTGGTGGTCTAGTGGTTAAGAATCGTCCTGCCACTGCAAGGGACAGGGATTTGATCCCTGGCCCGGGAAGATTCCCACATGCCTTGGAGCAACTAAGCCCCTGTGCCACAACTACCAAAGCCTTTGCTCTAGAGCCCGTGCTCCACAAGAGGAGCCACCGCAGTGAGAAGCCTGTGCACCGCAGCTAGAGAACAGACCTCTCTCCCCACAACCGGAGAAAGCCTGCAAGCAGCCAATGAAGACCCAGCACAGCCAAACATAAAACAAATAAGAATAAATGAATCTTTAAAAAAGACTCAGTCTTTTCAAAATTAAAGTAAATAATACTCAGTCTTTTTTCTTTAAGAACAAATAAAAAATAACCCCCTGTTTATTTTTTATCTTGCTTTTCCCCCTTTTATAAACTTTTTATTTTGTATTGGGGTATAACTGATTAACAATGTTACAGTCTCAGGTGAACAGTGAAGGGACTCAGCCATGCATATACATGGATCCATTCTCCCCTAAACTCCCATCCTATCCAGGCTGCCACATAACATTGACAAGAGCTCCGTGTGCTATACAGGAGGTCCTTGTTGGTTATCCATTTTAAATATAGCAGTGTGAACACTCTTAAACCTGTGAGCTCAGTTAACCATTTTCTTCTTATGAGAGTTAGATCTGTTTGCCATTGAGGAAAATGATCCATATGAAAATACCAACACAATGACATTATAGACTTCTTTTTTAGTGTAAGCAATGATGCTAGAGGCTCTTAGGACAGGAAGAAATTAAATGACTTTATCAAGTCACTGAGACTGTTCAATCTGAGTAAAATAGTTTGAATGTATGCCTTTCTAGTTTCACGGTCTTTCTATAAGGGATCAGATCACAGACTATAAGGAAAAGCCTCGCCCACCATTGATAATTACCATCATCTCTTTAATACCACATTGCTAGAAATTGTTCTATTAGAGTGAACTACCATAAGTAGAGCAGTCAAGCTATTTAAAAATACAAGCAAAAGTTAATAATGTAAAGTGACTATGAAGGCATTTTAAATTACATTCATATTCTTGAACAAATGAGAACATTCAAATTATTGCACTCTATATAACTATATAATGGCATATATTTAAATATTTCTGATTCTGAAGTATTCCTCTATTTTTTAAATTACATTAATAAGATGAGAAGTACAAGGGAAGTTCCAATTACTCCTCTGATCTTAGGCTGAGTATTTTTAAATGATTAAATGAAACTTACTGTGTATTCTGGTCCCAGATGTTCATTTGGGCAAGAGGGAAAAGAAAAAAGAGAAAATGATAGATTAAGACCATACTTATATGCACTATAAAACCACAGAACTAACAAATATTGCTGAATTATAACTATTAAAAATGTGGCAAAGAAACCTTCTGAGAATTAAACTTTCATAAATACTAAGCGTCTCCATGTTTGTTCTTGAAACTCTTTCATATGATACTTCTGTGGTTGGGTAGATAAGGAGTGTAAGACAAGATTCAATTAGCCTATAGGCTTGTGGGTAATTAAAAACTAAAGAGTTGGCCTTAGAAAAGCAGAATTAAAGACTAATAATTCCAGTAGAGCATTTCATTAACCACAAAGGAAATCTTTTAAGTGGAAAAGCAGCTTTTAAAACCAATAAAAAGAGCTTGTTAGGCTGATATTCAAATGGGACCTTGAATTTTCATGTGTTTGAGGTCAGGAACCAAACCTTTTAAATTTTTTGGCCAGTTTCTAGCTCAGTATCAACATTTTGAATGTCATTATCACTCCACTACAAGTGAGGAGGAAACTGATTTTCATGTTATCTGATTGCAGAGGAAGGGGTCTGGAGCTGAGAGACCCAACAGAACCTTTTACATAAATGATAAAAACAGTCAAGTTCTGTTCAGTGTGTGTGTGGGGAGGGTGTCTGTGAAGCAAAGAAGTCAAAATAAACAACTTGATTATGAACAAACCACACCTTAAAATTACTTGGAGATTATTAAGAGGGAGAAATAAGGATAATGAAACCTCTAGACGTGTCACTAAGTAGAGCTTCCTTTTTCTTCTCCATATGCTATTTACAATGATCACTTCAAGAAGGAAGATAGAATAGTTTAGCTTAACCCCTACAACCTCCTGCTAGGAAGAGTGTTGACTTAAAAGTATGGAGACAAAAGGTCAGGGAGGTGTCACAGGGTTCCTGTGAGTCCCTGCTGGGATAATCCTGGCTCAATCAGTGAAATCTGAATCCCCCTGTGTCCTTGCATGGATACTTGTGACATACTGGGTATACAAGGACTTACCTGTAATTGTGTAGGGATAATAGTTCCATGCCTTCTCTGTTACATAAAATATTTTGGGAACAACAGCTCTAGCCCAACTGGGCAGTTTGCTAAGAGGAAAGAAAGAAAAACGACAATTAGAGTCTGTCCAGTGCCTCACCCTGCTACCACATCTTTCCATAGAAATCGACTGCTAGAGAAATCAGAGGACTTCTATTTCCGCCCTCCTCTCCACAGCCACTTGGTCCCTATCTCCCTGATCTTCATCACTGTTAAACTATCCTCTGTTCATGTTAGTATTTAGGACATGTAGGATAGCCATAGACCATAGAAGGCAGGAAAGAGGTACAGAAGAGATTGGTTCCCCAGAAGGAACCTTGATTTCAGACTTCTGACCTCCATCCTGGGAGAGGATTAACATGTGTTGTCTTAAAGCCATCCAGTTCACCACAATTTGTTACTGCAGCCCCAGGAAACTAAGGCAACGACAGAGCCATTTCTCTGGAACAGGGACCCGGGCAGCCATTTGCAAAATACATTCTCAAAACAAAGAAAACCCAAGGAAAACCCCAGGACCGTTAGTGACCGAGGACTGATTAAGCTTTGTTTTGCTTCATTTTGCTTTCCTTCTGAGGCAAACTTCACAGCTTTCTGCAGGCCCAGAACATTCCCTATATATTCCTGTAATATGTTTGCATGACTTCATTCCCCCCCGACTCTACTCTGGGGCTTTCTGTTTTTCTGGTTGTTACTATCTTCTTTCTGGGCTGGTGCCTACAGCTAAGTGCCTGGGACACCGACGTCTAGCAGTACATCAGGCCCAGAGAGAGGACGCAGGCTCTCGGCAGTTGGCGATAAAAAACATCAAGAAGCAGTTGTGAATTGCAAGCTGATCTAGCTAAGAGAGGGGGGGATACCAGGGTAATAAACTCCAAATCCCCTTCTTGGACACGGGGTTTAAATGACATCCAGAGCCAGTAAAATACTGTGCACCTTGTATGTCTTCCCAAATTGCTTCTCTTCTTTCTGATAGTACCCAGGACCAGCTTTTTAAAACACAAATACGTACTTTTGATGGTTGGCCAGACCTAACTCAAAGAAAGCTCTGGGCCATTTATCACGGTTAAAATAAATGGGGAAATCAGACTCCCCTGAAGCCGGGTGGGCATCAGATGAAGGCCACTGCCATAGGTGCGCTGTGAGGGGCATGCAGAGCAGTATTATAATTCACAGAACGGTTCTTTTTGCTGCTGTAATGCAGAATGTCTCACTCTCATAAAATCGTTTCTGCAGTAACTGCTCAATTTACCTTCCCTTTGCTCCACTAGGAAGAGGCTTGCTTCCCAACAGAGGATTTTACAGCTTTCGCCTAGGATTTATTCTTTCAGTCACTGAAGCTGAAGGGTAACTGGGACTGACGTTGAAAGTGGGAAAGTAGCGCTGGGCTGGCTTGCGGGAAGTGGTCACGATCACCAGGTCCCCCGGGTCCCCTACTGCTTGCCCCCACACCCCAGCGTGATATGCCACTGTGTCATACAAGAAGTTGATTCTACTCATCGGCAAATTGGTTTCTCGTGCTTTCAGTGGATTGAAATGGGATTGTAGAAGCTCCCCAAAGTAAGCTAGGAATTATTCAGCTTAGACCAAGTACTTTTGTCTCCCTTCAAGCGTTAGAAACCATTCTCCACTGTTCCGTCTACACTGCGCCCCCTCCCCACCCCAGACTCACCAGCCTCTTGATAGTACTTTGGGGTCCAAGTCTTCCTCCCTCCATAACTCATTCCCTGTATCATTTTAAAAGCCTCCCAGCAGAACTATATTCCTAAGCAACAATCAATTTTCTGGAAGGAAGATGACAAACACCAGTCATTTTCCATTCATGTTGAGATTTGTCCTATTTGTAAATGATCAGGACTACAGGCTCTAGAATCTTTATCTTAGTTGTCTAATCTGCCAATGTATGCAGAATATGCCACACTATCACCAAATACCCTTTCCAAGGCACCCTAAAACAACAGTTAGCCAAGATGGCTGATATGATTTTATGTGACTCTTCCAAATAGTCTGGGAAGCAGCCCTTCTGGTATAAGCCATTTATTAGGCCAGGCACAGGAGGCACTGGAACAAATTCCATGATGTGCCATTTAAATATTTTTAAGCCTACTACAGACCTTCTCTTAGCCCCCGACTTCCCCAGAGCACATCATTACTCAAATCATTTTTGTCTGAGAAAGTAAAATTCATTTTTCCCTGCAGCAATGATTTATCAGGGCTGCAAAGGAAACGGAATTAAATTAGACTCCACTGCTGCTGTCACTTTCATGATGTATACTGCCACACAGCCTACAATTCCAAGGAGAAGCCTGTCACTCAAACTTGCTACCTGGCGTCAAACAAGAATCTCTCTGCTGGAAAGGTGGCATGACTTGAATCATGTTCTCTCAGTCTACTGGCAGAGATCAAACCTCCCCAAATCATCTCACCATGGCTCAGGCTTTAGAGACACTGAGTAAAAAGACAAAACTCTAAAATAACATGTTTCTCTAAAACCTTTGTCCATGTTTCCGAAGGACAGACTTTTTATATTGTTTCACTTCTTATATCTTTACTTTGTATGAAGTAGAACATATCAATGACAGCCAGGTGGTCAACTTGCCTCGGGTTACATGGGACTGTCCTGGTTTTAGCAGTGAAAGGTCCTACATGCTAAATTCCTTGATCATGAGCAAAATGGGAAGCTGGTCATTCTAGTGCAGTGGTTCTCATTTCAACAGGAAAGAGGTGAGGGAATTTCCCCCACCAGGGGGTATTTGGCCAAGTCTGGAAACATCTTCAGTCGTGAGAGCTGGGGGTTGGGGATGGGGAGCGATGATGGTCTGGCATCTAGTAGGAAGAGGCCGAGGATGCCCCAAGGCAGGCATAATCTGATCTTGCCTCAGGTTAAGAATGTTTATCTACTTCATAAAGAGTTTTTGGAACTGAATCCTAAACCATCTCTCCCTTCTATCGCTTTACAATCCAGATTATCACCAAATTCTCCAGCATATCTAATCTCATTTTGCAATTTATGTTCATTTGGGAATATTTTTTGGCTTCAGGGGTTCTTGAACATCATCAGGTCAGATGTGGTCCAAATGGAGTCTAATTTCATTTTCTCAACAAGGGTCAGAATTGTGCAAGTCTCAACTAGACACTTTGAACTTAAACATTCTGGGCAGGGAGTCCTTCTGAGTTCACAAAATATAATAGTGCTTTGGGAAGAATTTCCTAGGGTCCAGTGGTTGGGATTCAGCATGTTCACTGCCAGGCCTGGGTTCGATCCCTGGTTGGAGAACTAAGATCTTGAAAGTCATGTGGCGCAGCCAAAACCCCCACCCCAAAACCAACCAACACAAACAAAAAACAGTGCGTCACATAAGATTTTCTGCCAAACTGCATATCTGAAACTAGCCAATAGCTATGCTAAGATTAGGCTCAAAGAACTGCAGTTCACTTAAGTGATTTTTAAAAAATAATTTTATTTATTTATTTATGGTTGCACTGGGTCTTCACTGCTGTGTGCGGGCTTTCTCTAGTTGCAGTGAGCCAGGGCTACTCTTCGTTGTAGTGCATGGGCTTCTCATTGTGGTGGCTTCTCTTGTGGTGGAGCATAGGCTCTAGGCTCGTTGGCTTCAGTAGTTGTGATGCACCAGCTTAGTTTTTCTGTGGCATGTGGATTCTTCCTGGACCAGCGATCGAACCCATGTCCCCTGCATTGGCACGTGGATTCTTATCTACTCTACCATCAGGGAAGTCTCATTTAAGTGTTTCTTACAAGGTCTTAGCTACCTTCATATCTCCATTTCCCACTGGTCCAGGACAGATATTCTGACCTCTTCTATGTGCCCAAATCTGACATTTGACAGTCACTTGATAATAACCAATTGTCCCTCTCCAGTTGTGTGTACAGTGATTTCTGAGGTCTTTAAATTTCTCTTACGCTGCTATGACTTACTCATTTACTCCTTAATGCATTGTCTTCTGGATGGTCTTTGTGTCCTCATCTTAATGTAATTCTTTATACTGCAGCAAAGAGATGAACAGAGGTTCTGGACTAGAGCCATTACCTGTGAGAGATAAGGCTGCTGCGGCATCACCCACAGAAGTTCCTTGAACTTGGACACTGCTGCCACTCTTCCTATAAAAGGACAATATGTTCTGGATTCTGAGAAAAGCAGCCTACCTTGTGTCAGTTCTTGGAAAGCTTCGTGTGTGAACAGTGTTAGGATAACGTGGCAGGGGTGCTGGGGAGCACCTAGGGGAGTTGACCACATGTGTCATCATCACTGGGTAGGAGCGTGGCAGAATCAAGGTGGAAACTGCTTGACAGAATGATCTTGAAACCCCAACCAGGCTGAGACATCCTGCTTCTGTGGTTTTTCCATGGGAGTAGTCAAAGGGACAGAAGGCATGGGGCCCGGGAGCATGAGAATGCCTGATGTGTTCTTAAGGATTGAGATGGGGACCAAATGAAGAGCATGGACTGAAAGCTACGTCTGAAATAGGGCCCTTACGTGCTCTATTTTTTCCAATATATATTAAAAATACTATTAATTTACTTAATATTATATTCAATAGATATGAATTGAATATTTATTTAGCATATATGACTAAACATTCTAAAATATACAATATTTTTATATAGATGGCTATTGTGTACTGCCTGTTACCCATAACTAGAATGCAAGTCACACCAGGGCATAGATCTTCGTCCTGTTTACTGCTGCTCCCCCAGCCAGCACCTAAAATGATGACTGGCACACAGCAGATGCTTAATAAATATTTTCTGAATGAATAAAGATCATCTCTGGATATTCAGAAATCAGTAATAACCATGAAGAGTCTTTCAAAACAGTGTGGAAATAAGCTCTTAGGTCGGAATCTCTGGCTCCAACACTTCCTCTATGATCTCTTGCCTGGGCCGTGGACTCTCCCCACTGCCACAGGAACTGCGGCTCTAGGCTCTATGGGGGAAGATCTGGGAGAACAGGAAGAAAAAATGAGAAAGAAAGACCCAAGCCACAGCATCAAGGTTCTACCAATGAGTTGGTAGGTAAAGTGACTGTCTGGT